TGTGTCTGATTTAGTACTGCATATGGAAGTGGCAGCAATTAGAATTTTTGGATGAAAAGACTGGATTTATGCCATCCAGACTTCCCTAAGCTAAGTCAGATATAGGTCGCATTTGCATTGGGTGACAGTTTAATAGGATAAAACAAGAACAGCTGTCTTGTACTGTGTGCAGAGCTGCAGACATGCCTCAGCATGTCGTAGAAAATACAAGTTCATTTTAATGAGCACACTGAAGATTGTTTATAGCCTTCATTGTTCAGAATCGGTTGTATGTTTTAGTTTTTGATTGATAGGTCGCATGTCAAGACTGATCCAGCAGTTTAATTTCCTTTTATTGTGTCTAACAGACTGTTTTTAATAGGAAAAGCTCAAGACCTTCACAAATTGAATGTTAGCATACAGTAGCTTTAGTCTTGACTTCTTCCATTCTTCTGCTTTTCTCCCACTCGGCTTTCAGTGCTAGCAGGCTTTGTAACTTGAAACTCCTGTCAGTGGTTGAGTCTGCTTTCCTCTGCAGGGCTAAAACAAGGGTTGCCTTGACATAAATACATGTCTTTCAAATGAATTTGTTGTTTTGATTCATTTTATCATATAAACTGCCTCTTATTTTAGGTAGATTTAGCAGTTAACTTAATAGGTGTTGACTGTTACTGAGCTGTGCCACAGTTTTCTAACAGCTTGTCAGTTTGATTGTAGCCCAAATTTAGGCAAATGTTACTCTGTAGTACCCTTTCAAACTGTATATTTTAATCAGTATTAAAATATATTCTGGTAATTCACCCTGTGTTTACTGTATATCTTCCCCAGCTTTGATGTTTGGTAGCTGTAGATTTGATCAGAATATTTGCATTGCACTGCCCTGGAACAAACAGTTGCTTCATTGTCTGATCATCGTGCTACAAAACAGGTTCAACAGAACTGGGGTTACTTTCTGAGATCTGGGGTAACTAATGCCAACAAAGAAGATCTTATTTACATGTGGCGATAATCTGGTTCATCATCTTGGTAAGTCATGTAAAACAGGTTGAGGTGGAATGAAGTGGGCAAACTGGAGTGAAACATCTTGAGATAACAGCCATAAATCTGTCATTTTCCACTGCAAATATAATTTATTATCAGTGTTATTAAGACATGATGAAGACTTTTAGAAATAATCATAACTCTGAGCATTAAAAAGCTCTAAAGATAAAAAGGAAAAATTGGGAAATTAGACTCCCTAACTGTCTCTTACTATAAATTGCGTTTCATACAGTTTTACATGTAAATAGAAACATTTCAGTAAATGCGTCTGTATGAAAGAATGAAAGCAAATCTTCTGCCCTGATATTACATCTTATCCCTGTGATTTCCTCTTTGTGCTGCAGCACTTTGGATTTTGTGCTTTGTTGGCCTGTTATTGATTCGGTGAAACTATGAAGCTACATGTAAATCTTGCGGATAATGCAGCACAAGTCTGGCGCTAATTCACCTCCGAGAGAACAAAGAGCGATTCCTTTTGGACCAAGTGAAATGCGTTACAGAGGATGACGAAGTGAACCGTCAGATAGAAATACAGCATCAGACTTTGTTTTTTATCAGGCTCTCTGTATTAATATGTAACATAATTGGATGATTTTTAATTAGCCCAAACACAACCATGTTTTCAGTAAGCAGTTTTGTTTTGATATTATTTGATAAGCATTTCTTTCAATAAGGGATACATAATTTATAATTTTTATAAATTTGATTTAGATCTTTGATGTGGAAACTATTTTTAATTCAGACTATTTAATGGTCTAGAGATTCAGTTTAAATTACGTGTCTGACAAGAAGGAGACACGGTGTAAACAAAACATTTATTTAAAACAGTTTCATACTTAATCAAATTCCTCCAGTTTATGTTAAAGCAAAAATAGGTTGGTGCCTAAAGTTCTGTAATTTAAATTTCCAGTGTTAGGTTAGCTTGTCCGCCTGGCTTTTTCTTAAATAGAAAAAGCATCGAATTATTCTAAGTACCTGCGGTGGCTGAGTGGACGCATAATCCCATTTGAAGTGTACTCGCTAATAGGAGCTGGAAAGATTTTGAAATCAATGCGTTTTCGCATTTTGAATTGATTTAAAATTTCAAGGCCTTGGAACTGCGATTTTTCAAATCTATTTTTTTTCTGCACCTGTAGATGTTAGTCAATGTTGGATGATAAACGATGATATTGTTGCTTTGAGACCATTTCCAAGTAATAAGATGGTAATGGCATAATAATGCAAGAAACATTCTCAAATATTAATAAACTATAAATTCTAATGAACATTTAACATAGGAACTGGAAGACGTTTTTGATATGCACAATAAATAAACAAAATAACAGGAAACAGCAAATAAATTGAGTTAAGTCTCTGTAAACAAAATTATTGATAAATCATACAAACAGAACTTGTATACTTATATATACATCATTTCCCAGAGCGAAAAACCCAAAACGGTTAATAGTTTGTCCGTCTCATCTAGTTGTGTTATGTGCTTTTAAACTTGTTTTGCAGAATTAATTTAGGAACCACAGGAAGTTTGTTTATTCTTAAACTGAATAATTTCAGTTTTTTTCATTCTCAGAAGGAACCAAAAGTGCTGAGGATAACAGGAAGTCAGTTTAGACAGTAATGTCTTATTTAGCTATTGTGCGTCATTTACTGTGCTGGTAAATTCAAGGATAATTTATGCATTTTAAAGCTTTCAGGAATTTCATAACAATTTTATTTTTTTTTTTATAAATAATGGATTCATGTTTCTGTGTTTTATTGGGCGGTGTTTTGAAGCTGCATGTCGGCTTCGGGTTATTCTATAGACTAGTCAAAGCAGGGTAATGGTTTGCTGTTTTATTGGACAGATGGAAAATGAAATATTCCAGTTTTGTTTATTGCCGTAATTTATTTCAATGTGTTTTTCATAAACTCTAATGCATAGCCACATTGAGTCATAATATAAAATGCCCTGCATGCTCACATAAACACATAAACACAGTTCCAGTTCACACAATGAGCCCAGTTTTAGACAGATAATGCGTCAAATAACATTCTGGATCCTGAGGATCCCTTAAGGCTGTATAACACAACAGCTTTTTCTCTCGCTTTTTCTCTGAGACGGGTTGGTGTTTTATTTTATTATTTACTTTTTAAATCTTCAGCTGTATATTCAAGTTTGTGTGTTTGTTATGAGAATGTGTTGCAGGCTTCATTTGGCGCGGCGCAGGATGTTTTCCCTGCTGGAGTCATTTTATACACCTCAGTGTACATCTGGAAACCATATTCCTGAGTCGTCTTCCTCATAAATATGTGAGCAAATTTCAGCCTTCAATAAAAAATAAATCCAGGAGCACTGGGTGGCTCAGTTAGTAGAGCGCGATCACCATGTGAGGAGGTTATAGTCCTTGATATGGTTTTCATGGGTTTGATTCCCACTTTCTGCATGATTTCCATCTATTTACTGTTCATTAAAGGCCACTGATGCCTAAAAATATAAACTCAAATAGCAGTTTTAAAAGGCATCATCCTCGTTAGGCCTGTCGCAGTAAGCAATAAATCATTTACTTGGATAATAAATTAAAATTAATTTGTGCGATTTTCTCTCTCTTTCTACCAAAAACTGGATGAGAAAAGTCTTCAGTCTGGTGTTTTGGTCTCAACTGGACCTTTTTTGAAGGACAGTTTTGTTTACAGAGACTTCATAATTCATTTTATTTGTTCTGTTGTTTTGTTTATTTATTTTGGTTATTTAAAAAACCTTCCAGTTCCAGTGATAAATGTTCATTAGGATTTAAAGTTTATTGTTCTTTGAGAATGTGTTACTGCATTGTTATGCCACTGTATTACTTAAAAATGGTTTCAAACAACAATATCATCGTTTTTCACAATAACTTCTGGTTCTCTTTCACACCACATTGTCAAATGATCCAAACCAGTTGAAAAAACTGCTCCCCAGTGGTGACGTTGCATCAAGAACTACTGAAGGAAACAACATGAAAACCTCAGAGAAAGACATGAACGTAACTTCCTTCTTCACTAAATGTGAAAAAAATGGAGTACTGTCAGGTTTTAGGAGTAGTGGGATTTCTCTTTTGTGATTGGTAAAAGACCATGATCAAAACAAACTCCTGCGTTTGATTTGGTTGTATTCACCCAGAATGCCCTGCGCTATTGTTTGCTTCCTGCTGCAGTTCATGTGGCGTTCACATATTCATTCAAACCGTGTCAGAGTTCACTTCAACCGAACAGACCAGTGTTCACTTTTTGGTCTGAATTAGAATTTGTTTGTTTACTTCCATAGTTCTTGCTGCAGCGCCACCACAGGCAAGGAGGGGAACAGGGTTTTTTTCCAATTAGTTTGAATTGTTTTACAAAGTGCAATGTTAAAGCAAACCGACAAACAGCCTAGAGTTTGAGTAAAGCAGACTAAACAGGGCTGAATTGTTTTTTAATCTAACTTTCCAGATTTTCCAAACAAAAAAAGGAAGAATCTATCGCTCACATGAGAAATTCTACAACTGCTAAAATCTCATGCTACTCCATTTTTGTTTACATTTTGTGAAGACGGAGGTTGTGCTCAGTGTCTTCTTCAGAGGTTTTTGTGATGTTTCCTTCCACAGTTGTGGGTGCAGCGCCACAACAGGCGAGGAGGGGAACAAGTTTTTCAATTGGTTTGAATCGTTTGACAAAGTGCGGTGTTAAAGTGACAAACAAACTGGAGTTCTGTTAAAGCAGATTAAAAACAACTGGTGTAAATACACCCTAAAGTGTTTTTTTTAAATCCAACTTTACAAATTTTCTTGAACTTTTGACAGATTTTTCACAAATTAACTTTAATTCCTTAAACCACATTGACAGTGGTTTTTAATTTAGCTCATTTCTTCCCCTCCTCCTGACGAAATGGTTCATTCCTCTCTGTTATGGCTGTAGTGTTCGCCACACTCCACCCTCCTCTCTCTCTCTCTCTCTCTCTGAAGCTCTGTACACCCCACCCGGTGTCAGGGGGGGATCAGCTGTGCCAGTCCCGGCAGACCACACACACACACAGTATGCTTAGTGGAAAACAAAGCCTCTAGCACTGCCAGTTGAAGACGATCCCTGCCTCCGCGCTCTGTGCGTAGCATGTTCTGTTCTGATGCTGCCAAGACGGAAAGGCATGACTCCGCCATCGCCAGGGCTTTTCGGAAAGGAACGTTTTCACAGGGGCACGAGCGGCCGATTTCTGCCTTTTGATGGAATATTTTTGTTTCTTCTGGTGGTGAAGAGTTGAAATGCTGGCAGAGCGCAGAGAGAACAGCAGGTAGGAGAAATCAGAGCTGGGTGCTAAGCTTGTCTCCGTGGCGACTCTTAGTTTGTTTACTCACTTCACCGATATAGAAACACACCAGTTTACAGGTTATTGATCATCATAGCTCTTATTTTCTGTCGTTTTAATCTCTGAAGATTAAATGCAGTAAGCTATAAATAAATCAATTAATGGTACGATAAATTAAATGAGCTCAATAATTTCCATTTGCACGATTTATCGTTTTTCTCTTTTGTCTCTTCCTACCAAAAACAGGATGAGGAAAATCCTCAGTCTGCTGCTTTGGTCTCAACTAGACCTTATTTTGTATTCATAGGCTTCATAATACAATGTATTAGTTATTTCTGTTGTTTTGAGTATTTATTTTGGATATTAAAATGTCTTCCAGTTCCTGTATTAAATATTTATTTGAATTTAAAGTTTATTAATCTTCGAGAATGTATTCTTGCATTATTGTACCATTACCATTATATTACCTGAAATCTTGCAAAATACTAAAGACTCCTACATACTAAACTTCATATTTAGAAGTTATAACAATAAATACTTTGCAATGTGACTGGAAATTCAAAATGAATTAATATTGAAGGCACATAATGACATTTTCAATATGCTGAGGCAAGTATTTACTAACTTTTGGGAAAGGCAGCTCATTCTTTTGCTATATTAACATCCAGACAATAGCCAATCCCACACAAGCAATGGTTACTATGGGAACCTATTGTTAAACCATCATTTTTTTGTCAGTTTTGTCAATGCACATGGAACAAAACACAATACATGTAATATATTTGGTATTTGTTAGACAGGAAGTAGTATTAACATCTTGAAGCAGCCCAGGCTGATAACTGACTTCAGTCTGTGGAGCTGGATGAAGATTAGGGTGATCGCAAGGAAGCTGTCCAGTCTGAAATACTTGAAGAGCACAAAAGATAATCATCTTTGTCACTATACTTAGAGATTTAGAGATTTTTTTTAGACAAAATAAGTCAGTATTGGACAAAATTTGAATGAGCAGATCAGGCTTCTTAAAGGTAAATGATTGATCAGAAAATGTAAATCAGTGCACCCGTATGAGAAAAGTTTAATTCCTGGAAGGTTAATCAATATTTTTCTTTTGCCCATTGCAAAAAGTACAAACAATCGTCTCCATGCTTTTTTCTTGCATTTTACAACCTTTTTTTTTTTTTTTTCCAAAATTGCTTCTTTTACATTGTTTATGGATCTTTTAGATACCTGTCTCTGTTTTTGTTGATTTGAATCAGAATCTGCCATGTGTATTCACTGATTTGGGCTTAACAGTAAAATTAAAACAAAGTTGAACTAAATCTGTTGTTCTTAGAAAGAAAAGAATAATTGAGAACTTTATTCCAGTCAAAGCATCATCAGTGCATCTGTAAATAAGTATACTTCACCTTATCCATGAATCTAGCAAATATTACTATAAATGAAAGCAATAGCTGCATGTTGATAGTAAAATGAATGGTAGATATAACTCAAGTCTTCTTCTAGGACGTCCTCACACCTCTGTGCTTCCTCTAACCGAACGTTAAACACTTTGCAGAAGTGGCAGATACACTCACTTAGGAAAAACTTTCACACTCAGGCTATTATTAGAGCAAATTAACCAATTTGCCATGGTGTGTTCACAGACTGGAGGAAAAAAATTATTTGTAGCTTCACAATGGAGCTACTTTAACATGAAAATCAGCCAACTGGTCCCCTACCAAATGATCGGTATATTTCTTACACATATTAGTCAGAATCTGCCATGTGGGTCTTTCTGTTTCCAGAGCAGGCAGTTTCTCTCTTTGAAACCAAACGTACCAGCATTTGTGTGGGGGGTTGGCGTGAAATCAGCACTCTGCACTCTTTTTAGTTTCTCTGAATTAGCATTTTGTTGGGAGAGTTTGTGTTTTATCTCGCTGCTGTCAAATCCCCCCATTCCTTTTCTCTTTCTTCTCCACCTTCCCTGCAAACTGACATTACGTCACTTTCTCCAGAGGAACAACCACACAGGCTTTTGAAGAGCTGGGCCTTTCCAGGGCATTGGCTGCCTTCATCTCCCAGGAGTTAGTGTTAACTCTTCAAGACGTTCATTGAAGCTGGCGTTCGCTTAAAGAGAGTGCTTTAAAAAAAAAACCAAAAAAAAAAAAAAACTGGAAGACCCAGAAAACAGGCACAGATTCCCACTGCAGAGGAGTTGACATTCCATTGATGCCACCAACTCGTTTTCTTTGCTCCAGCCAAGACAAAAACATTTTCTGATGCAGTTTTTTCTGGCTGTGCCTGTAATATAAAATTAGTTGTGATAAATGCATTTACTTTTTGCTCTATGGTGGTGATTTTTTGAACAATGAAGGTAACATCATTAAAGATGCTGTCTTTATCGTTCTTGTCATTTCAGCTTTGCTTGAGATTCATCAATATTCAGTGAGCCGTCTGCTTCTGTAGGTCAAGTCCTAGACGGCGATTTCAGATTTTCTTTTCTATTACATCAGGACAAAAAGACAAATGATAGATGCACAATAACAAATTTTGCTGGACGATAAATGGTCCCAGAAGTTATTGTGATAAACGACAATATTGTTGTTTTGAGACCATTTTCAAGAAATGTAATTGTGATGAAATAATAATGTAAGAACACATTAAAGATCAATAAACTTTAAATGCTAATGAACACTAAACACTGGAACTGGAAGACATTTAAAATATCCAAAATAAACAAACCAAACAACAGAAACGGCAAATAAAATGAATTATGCAATCTCGGTAAACAAATAAAGGAGCTAGTTGAGACCAAAACACCACACTGGAGACTTTTGTCATCCCGTTTTTGGTAGAAAGAGATAAAATATAAGAACAATAAATCATGCTAATGGAAAGTGAGGGTGTTTTAATTTATCATGCAATTAATTGATTTATTGCTTATTGCCACAGTCCTAGTCATTTGGCCTAACCTGGAGTTTCAACTGGTCGCACACATACGCATATTAGAGTCTGTGTGTGCAGCTCACCAAACAGAAAGATCGGTGACGTCGAGTCTGAAGTCTGGGCCACTTATGCTTGTCATTAAAAACGCTGAGGAAGAAATATCGGTAAATGTAAAAACGTCAAAATTACGCTTATGAGACCAGTTTTTGTATTTGGAAATGTATTATGAATGCACTTCCTCTTTAAACGCTTCTGCTTTTTTAATACAGTCAGATTGTCACGATAAATTTTACTGGACGATAAATTATCATAGAAATAGTTGTGATGAACGATAATAATGTTGTTTTTGAGGCCATTTTAAAGTAATAGATTGATTTTAGCATAAATTACAAGTTCACCCTCGCAAAGATGAATAAACTTTGATTTTGCACAAAACACAACAATAAATTCAACGGAAATAAAAACCACACATAACACACAGTAGTGAGATATAGTAGTAAAGAGGTCTTTGGGTTCAATGTTAGAGAACCTTGTTTTTTTTATCTTTTATTAACTTGTGAAACTCTATATTAAAACTTTGCCAACCCTCTGGCCATGTTTGAAAATCTGTCTCCACAGCTGCCAGTGTTGGGTGGAGAAATCGGTATCCTGTAAGGAATTTAAATTGCTTGTGCTTGCAGTTTATTCTCTGCAGCCATTTTGCATCAGGAGATAAGAGAGACTTGCATCTCTATGAAGAAATTAGCTGTGCTCAGTTGCCAAAGGTGTGGGTAGGCTGTTTATTCAGATACTAAAATGAAAAACAGAACTAGTTCTGTGGTGGGAAAACAACATTTGATAATGAAGATATTTTAGGAGGCTGGAAAAATGAACTTAGCAAGGAGCAAATTTAGCATCTTGTTGTGTGGCTGCGTGGCGTTTTCATTTATGTTACTCTTAACTCTTATGAAGCCCAAGTGGCGTCATGTGGCTGCAGACACTAATTTAATTCTTTTTTTAATGTGCTTCGCTAATTTGTATCAGCTTTGTTCAAAAAGAACAGAGTACAATGACGGAGTCCTCATTTCTTCCTTCTGGAGTTTAAATTTGGTCGCAATATTTCGTAGCATTTATTGCAATAATGATACAAAGTGATAAAATATCTTTTTGGCATCAGACTGAATGGCTTTGACCTCAGCACTGCAGTCAAAGGAGCAAAAACACAAATACTGCTCTTCATAAAATGCACATTTTCAGCAACAAGGCAATTCAAAGTGCCTTTCATAAGTAAATGGAAAATAAAACGACAAGCATAAATTTATATTGCAGTGACAAAGTAAGAGAAAACTTACTTTGGGTTTGGGTTTTTAGCCTTGATTTTACAGAACTCAGTGTTTCAGCAGTTTTTCAGTTTTCTGGAGGTTTGTTTCAAATTAGTGGAGCAAAAAAACTGAATGCTGCTTCTTAGTGTTTGGCTCTGATTCTGTGGATTTAAAGTAGACTTTAGCCAGAACACCTGAGTGATCTGAAGGGCTGACACAACAACAAGAGGTTCAGTGATTTATAAAGTAAGAAAAGTGTTTTAAAGTCTTTTATCTGAGACTACAGGGGCCAGTGAAATTTCCTCTGATCCCTCGGTGTTTGGTTCCCATGTGGGCTTTCATGTTGTGTCAGCTGCTTTTATTTAATCATTTGTGTGTTTGTCTGGTAACTTTGTGGTCTGGTTACTGTTTAGCAGGTTTGTGTTTGACTTGTTGTTGCTTGTTTTTTTTTTTTTTGTTTTTAGAAAGCGCAGCCAGGCTGTAGCGCTGTTCTAAACAGATTCAAAATAAATTTTTCTGTGGAGCGATTGCTGCAAAGTGTGCTGCTTTTGTCCTGCTGTTAGAAAAACTGCAATGTCAATAATATTGGTATATATTGCAATGAGCATATCAGTTGCACTATTTCATGTCTTTCTCATTTGTGCTTCCATAAATTAGTGACCTTTTTAGCATTTTGGGTAAAGTCATTAATGACTCAATTTTCAAGTAATATAATAGTAACAGCATAATAATGCAAGAACACATTCTCAAAGATCAATA